CCAAAGCCATTTTTTCTTCTTCAACCATCTGATGTACTTGTAGCATTCCACGCCCACCTATTTGCCTTGGTAGATAAAGTCTATCAATGTCACTGCGTGGATGAAGGGCATGATTCATTGTCATTATTTTTCTGGTCTGCCTATCCATTGCTTTTAGTTCTGCTTGAGTCCAGTCCACTATTCCAGCTGTGTACCTAATGACTGGGATTGCCCAGGTGTTGATTGCCTTTATGGTATTTCCTCCATTGAGTTTGGATTTTAAGATCTTCTTCACTCTCTTGATGTATTCACCTCTAATCTTTTTCTTGACTTCAGTGTGCTTGATGTTGTCAGCTTGAAGGATACCCAAGTATTTGTAGTACTCTTCCTCATCCAGACTCTTAATGTTATTTTCGTGGGGCATCTTGATTCCTTCAGTTTTCACTATTTTTCCTTGTTTGATAGTAAGTGTGGCACATTTGTCCAAGCCAAACTCCATTACAATATCTTGGCTATATATACGGACAGTGTTGAGCAGCGATTCTATTTCAGATGATGTTTTTCCATACAGCTTCAGATCATCCATGTAAAGGAGGTGGGATAGTCTGGCAGATGTTTTTGATGTTTGATAGCCATGTCCTGAGTTATTCAGTATTGTTGACAGAGGAAACAGTGCAATAACAAATAGTAATGGTGATAATGAATCTCCTTGAAATATTCCTCTCTTGATATTAACCTCTCCCAGCCTCTCACCATTGATCTGCAACTGTGTCTTCCATTGTGCCATCGATCTTTGCACAAATTTTCTGATGTTTCTACTGACTCCTGTTATTTCTAGGCACTTTATTATCCAATCATGTGGCAGAGAGTCAAATGCCTTTTTGTAGTCAATCCATGCCACATTCAGGTTGGTCTTCCTTCTCTTGCAGTTTTCCAAGATCATTTTGTCTATTAGGAGTTGATCTTTTGTTCCTCTGCTATTGGGGCGGTTTCCTTTCTGCTCAGGTGGAAAGAGATTGTTTTCAACTAGATGCTGTTGCACTGCATCAGCTACTACACCAGTTAGTAATTTGAAAGTTGTTGGTAAGCAGGTAATTGGCCTGTAGTTACCTGGTGTTGCCCCTTTTGCTGGATTTTTCATTATTAGGTAGGTTTTCCCAGTTGTTAGCCACTTTTCAATTTCTCCTCCTTGTAGTATATTGTTGAACTGCTTGGCAATGAGTGGGTGTATAACAGTTAGATGTTTCAACCAAAACCCATGCAGTTCATCTTCACCTGGTGCTGACCAATTTTTGATTTTCTTTGCTCTTTTTTCTACCATTTTTGTTGTTATTACTAGTTCTTTCATTTCAACTTCTGTTTTATTTGCATCCACCTCTTTTAACCAAGCTGCATCCTTGTTGTATTTCTTTGGGTTATCCCATATCTGCTTCCAGAATTGCACTGTTTCTTCCTTGTCAGGTACTGACTGATTCCTTGCAGTTTCTCCATTGATGGATTGGTAGAAACGTTTCTGATTGGATTGAAATTGGAGGTTCTGCCTATAGTTTGCAATTCGAGCTTCATATCTACTGATTTTCCTGGCTATAGCTGTTATTTGTTGCTTTATTATTTCCAGTGCTTCCTTGATCTTCCTTGTTTCTAAGTGGTATTTCTTGATTAGGTATTCTTTGGTCTTCTTGTTCTTCAGCTTCTTTTCTTTCATCTGTTCTAGCTTGCTTGCATGTGATCTTAACTTGCTGATCTTATTTTCTAGTCTAACCTTCCATTTTTGTGGTGCATTGTTTGTTTGTTTTTCTTCTTTGTTGATTTTGCATCCCAGGTATTCAGTTATAACTGCAGCTGTGCTGTACATTAGTTGGTTTGTTTCTTGCAGTGAATTGGTGCTTATACTTGCTATTGCAGTATTTGCATCTTTTAATGCTTGTGCTAGCTGTTTCTTTGAAACAAGCTTCAATGCAGGCAGCCTTATTCTGTTGTTTTTGTGCTGTTCTAGATGCTCAGTTATTCTTTGTTTCAATTCTTTTATTTCTTTAGTTAGAAGGTTTTGTTCTTCCTGAGGAATAGGCGCCTGGTTTCCAAATGAGAACAGTTGTATATCTCTACTGGATTCTTTCACTGCCAACTCCCCCTGGTTTGCCTCTACATTCTGAATTACTTCTTGTAAGGCTTTGATTTCTTTGCCCTGGGTAAACCTTTGCAGTTCGTCCAATTCTGTTTCTGTAAATACTTTATTTCGTGTTATAAATCGGCGTTGATCTGCTAGTCTCTGTTCTGTTATTTCTGATTCTGGATGTTGTTCTTTCCAGAACTGGTGCATTCGTTTTAGATATCCTCTTCTTGTTGGACTTGATCTGTAGTAACAGATCATTATTTCTTTGTTTTCCATCACTGTGTATCTGCGACGGGTAAACACCTTTTCTTCCAGTAGTTCTGCAGCTGCTGGCCCTGGTTGCTCAGCCAACAGTCCTGAGTCCTGTAACCCATTTTTCACCAGATATCCAGGAACTCCAATATCTAGCGCGGACCTTGTTAACCCGGGCGACGTCCGAGCCGGTATGGCATTCTGAAATTTACGTCTCACCATATTTTTTATGGGAGAGACACTCTTTGTCTGACTCCTCTGATGAGACCTGTCCAGTATGGTTGAACCTCTGGCATAGCTCTCATCTTCCTCAGAGTACACAAGCCCCACAATCACGTCAAGGTAGTGCCTCACTGGGGGATTATTATTATTATTATTATTATTATTATTATTATTATTATTATTATTGTTGTTGTTGTTGTTGTTGTTATTATTATTATTATTATTAAATATTTGGAGGGCGCCAGATAAAGAGAGGGAAAGGAAAGGAAAAAAAAAAGAAAAACCAGTACACAGAAGTCAGAAGGGAAGGAAAAAGACGGAAGACCCAGGGAGGAAGGAAGATCTATGTTCTCTGCCTAATTTTTGCATAACTGACGACCATAACTTACTGTATTGCAGAAAAAAAAACATGGCAATGAATTAAAGAAACAGAATTTGCCCTCCCTGACTTTAAAGCTTCAGTCTTATTTTGGGGGGACTGAATTGGTTTTCCTTTGGACTGAACTGTTCATATCGGCCTTCTTTTAATCCTCGTTTGCTCTCATTTGGTTGGTGAGTGGCACTGCCCCCTCGACCCTCAACTGCCCTTCAAGAAAGCGCTACTTACCTTAAAATGTGTCTCGATCCACCCTACATGCAGGGATCTAGCCATGCCCTTCGTCCGAGGAAAAACAGGCCAGTTCCAAAATCGGACGATGGGGAGGGTCGGGATTGCAACAGACCAATTTCGGCATGCCGAGTTGAACGCTCCGTTCTGGCTGGAAAGTAAACATCCTTTGCACGTTCTGCCAAAGTCCAGTTGTGGTAGTTGCCGTTCTGTTTTAGTTTTTGTATGCTGTTTGTGTCTTGCATTGTTGGTACTGTTGTTTATTGTTTTGGTACTATTGTTATTATTATTTGATAGGGTATGAAGTATATACACTGAGAACTTCTTTACCGGAGACAAATTCCTTGGCCAATAAAGAATATTTTTTTCTTCTCTTCTCTTCTCTTCTCTTCTCTTCTCTTCTCTTCTCTTCTCTTCTCTTTTCTTCTCTTCTCTTTTTTTCTCTTCTCTTCTCCTCTTCCTTCCTTTCTCTTCTCTTCTTTTCTCTTCTCTTCCCCTCCCCTTTCTCTTCTCTTCTCTTCCCCCCGCCCCTCTGCTTCTTTCTCTTCTCTTCTCTTCTCTTCTCTTCTCTTCTCTTCTCTCCTCTCCTCTCCTCTTCCATTCTCTATTTTCTATTCTTGTCTACTCTGTATACTACTCTATTCCATTTCATTCTGTTTCTGTTCCTGTTCCAGTTCCATTCATTTGTATTCATTTCTAATTCTATTCTTTCTATTCAATTCTATTCTAGAGCCGTGGTGGTGCAGTAGTTAGAATATACTACCATTTCAGACAAATGGCTGTCCAATCTCATCTTAAAACTTTCCAGTGTTGGAGCATTCACAACTTCTGGAGGCAGGTAGTTCCATTGGTTAATGCTCCTCATTGTCAGGAAATTTCTCCTTAGTTCCAGTTTATCTAGTCTGTCTTCTTCGTTTTGGTTTATCTAAAGGACAGAAAATACCAGGAGCAATGCTGTTGGCATGATCTGCATCCTTACTCGGGTGGAAACTAATCAAGGAGAGAAGCAATCTGGAACTAAGGAGAAACTTCCTGACAGTGAGAACAATTCACCAGTGGAACAACCTGCCTCCAGAAGCTGTGAATGCTCCAACACTGGAAGTTTTTAAGAAGAGACTGGACGGCCATTTGTCTGAATTGGTATAGGGTTTCCTGCCTGAGCAAGGGGTTGGACTAGATGACCTCCAAGGTCCCTTCCAATTTTATTACTACTACTACTACTACTACTACTACTACTACTACTACTACTACTACTACTCTAAAGGAGGACAACCTTAAAAAAGGCCCATTGGCCAAACATCCAAATTTTGATCCCGTGCCCACGGGGATGCTGCAAATGTGTATAAGTGTGAAAAATGGTCATAAGTCACTTTTTTCAGTGCCTTTGAACAGTCACTAAACTAATGGCTGTAAGTCAAGGACTATTTGTACTGTACATAAACAGGGAGCAAATCACGAGTACTGATGACGTTCCCTAGTTGGTTCATGAAACGTCTGCAAGAAAACCACCCAGCTGAGAGAGCACCAAGGACCCCACAATCCTCCTCCTCCTCCTCCTCCTCCTCCTTGAGCTTCAGCTACAAATATTCTCTTCTATTGGTATTCACATTTATGCAAAAAAAAAGGGGGGGGGGATACAGCATGGGTGTCAAACTGCCAGCCCACTGGCCGGATGCGTCATGCCAAAACCACATCCACCCCAGCTCCAGCAATGGGAAAGAAGTCACGATACGTTGCGACACATCACGTGACGTAGCGAGTTTGACACCCCTGGGACAGAGGGAAAAATAAAGGAAAGGTGTAGGAATCACTCCATTAGGCATTGAACAAGCACAATAGAACCTTTATTGAAACTTGCGTACTGCAGACCACTCATGATTAGATTCAGGAAGCTGCTAACAACAGCAGAGCACTCTTCACACCGTGGGAAAACTAGGATCAGAAACCAGGAAGAAATACATTGGATTTAAAGTAGGAGTCTTCAAACTTGGCCCTTTGATGACTTGTGGACTTCAGCTCCCAGAATTCCTCAGCCAGGCATGCCTCGCTGAGGAATTCTGGGAGTTGAAGTCCACAAGTCATCAAAGGGCCAAGTTTGAAGACCCCTGATTTAAACTTTTAACCCAATCTGGGGCAACGACGCCAGCAAGGGACAGCTCAGTTGGAAAGGTCGAAACTCCGAGGCGGAGAAGATTTGGGATGAAACGATGCTGGATCAGTTACATAGTTGGATAACAAGCTTGATTGGCTACCCCACAATGGTTATCCACTCCTTTCACCAATCGCATGTAGCCCTGCTCGCCCCAATTCTCAGACCAGCTGGGAAAGAGAAGAAAGGAAGAAAGGGAGATTAATAGGTGGACAATTGATGGTGTGTGGCAAAATTGGCTCTTTGTTAGAAATCCTGTTTATATAAAGTATTACACAGAGCAAACAAAGAGAACAGTCATCATGTGCCTAACTGCTCAACTATATAACTGTAATAGGAAATAGGAAATAGGAAACTCTACTTAGAACAAAGCAACATATATACCAGGGATAGGCAACCTTGGCTCTTTTATGACTTGTGGACTTCAACTCCCAGAATTCCTGAGCCAGCCAGTCATAAAAGAGCCAAGGTTGCCTACCCCTGGTATATACACTATATACCAGGAGTCTTCAAACTGGGCTCTTTTATGACTTGCGGACTTCAACTCCCAGAATTCCTCAGCCAGCATGGGGGAACTATGGCTCCTTCATGACTTATGGACTTCAACTCCCAGAATTCCTCAGCCAGCATGGGGGAACTATGGACCTTTTATGACTTGTGGACTTTAACTCCCAGAATTCCTCAGCCAGCATGACTGGCTGAGGAATTCTGGGAGTTAAAGTCCACAAGTCATAAAAGGGCCAAGTTTGAAGACCCCTGCTATATACCATAGATCCAAGCTTGTAAATTCTGCCATCTACTGGCTGAATACTATTGTTGTTGTTGCCTAAAAATATGTTCCAACAATGAATTCCGACGCTCTTGAACCCTTGACCGATCAAGAGATTTGCCTGTATCCCTTCTACAGCTGGCCCAGATCCTCTGTGTTGCCAAGAATGAACTGCTTTAAGCAGAGTTTGGTCTGCTTAAGGCCCCAGGGTAGAAAATAGGAGATTGGGAGATCTAGTCGTGCCTTAGGCATGAAAGTTGGCTGGATGACCTTGGGCCAACACCAAGAGATGGTGAATTCTAGTCCGTCATTAGATGTAAAACAGCTGGGTGATCTTAGCCCAATCACCAGGAGATGGTGAGTTCTAATCCATCCTTAGGTATAGAACAGCTGGGCGATCTTGGGCCAGTCACCAGGAGACGGTGAGTTGTAGTCTAGCCTTAGGTATGAAAGTGCTGGGTGACTTTGGGTCAATCATCAGGAGATGGTGAGTTCTAGTTCCATCTTAGGCATAAAAAGCCAGCTGGGGCAACCTTACCAAGGCTGAGAAACCCTGTTCTAACAAATAGCCCCTCACACTTTCTTAGCTAAACCTGATGATAAAATAAATGAGATTTAACTTTGACCCAGGAACTGATTTTCAACGCCCTTCTTCTTCATCCTGTGCCATCTCCTCTTTAATCACCTGTTCTTTAGGATCCAGTAATCGGTGGTCTTCTCACCCTCCTGCTCAGTGCCGTAGCCCACAGCCAGCATGGCGTGAGTGACCTTGTGGGTGCACTCGCTGCTTGCAAAGATACCTGGGCAGAGAAGAACAGAACACACACACAGAGAGAGAGAGAGAGATGGCCCTCAAAATGTACTAGTAGGAGGTCTCTTAAACTTCTGTGTCTGTGCATGTACACATATGTACATGCCCATTCCACCCCCAAAGTTGCTTTTTTTTCTTCCACAGACATTCACCCACTCCAGATAGATAGATAGATAGATAGATAGATAGATAGATAGATAGATAGATAGATAGATAGATAGATAGACATGATAGATGACAGATGATAGATGATAGATGATGGATGGATGGATGGATGGATGGATGGATGGATGGATGGATGGAGAAAGAGAGACTGACTGACTTACTGACTGACTGACTGATGTGGAGTCCTTGGTGCTCTCTGAGCTTGGTTATTTTCTTCCAGACGTTTCATAACCCAACTAGGTAACATCATCAGTGCTGGAAAGTAGTGTGGGGTTTGCTCTCTGTTTACATACAGGTGGCTTGCCCTGTCAGCATTGGGTGGGGATGGTCTTGATGTTTCCTTGATTAGGCTGTTGTTTACTGTTTGATTGTTGGTCTGAATTGGTTGTTCTTTGATTGGGAATTTGTTTACTGCTTGATGGTTGATATAGTGTTTATTTATTTATTTATTTATGAGACTTATATACCACTTTAAGTGCAAGCACTTTCTAAGCGGTGTACACCAGTAAGCAATGTGTATATATATATATATATATATATATATATATATATATATATATATATATTTACATTGCCCCCAACAATCTGGGTCCTCATTTTACCTGCCCCGGAAGGATGGAAGGCTGAGTCAACCTTGAGCCGGTGAGATTTGAACCGTTGACCTGCTGAACATAGTCAGCTAAAGTGGCCTGCAGTACTGCACTCTAACTGCTACGCCACCTCGGCTCATTAATATTTAATAATAATATTTAATAAGTGTTAAACTTATTTACTCTATTTTTATTTACTGTTAGACTTCTACGCCAAGACTTCTACGCTAGGCGGCTTACTGTCATGCAATTAAAATACCAAATAAAACATTACGCGATGAGTGTTAAATCTTGGTGTTGTCTTTGGTTATCTAGGTGTTGTTTGCTGGTGAGGAGGCGTTTTGATCTTTTTTGTTTCCTTGGTGGCTTTTTGATGTCTGTTTTGCCACTAACATATTGTATAAACAGACAGCAAACCCCACTCCTTTGTAGCACTGATGATGTTACCTAATTGGGTTGTGCAACGTCTGCAAGAAAAAAACAACCCAATGGTATGTAAATATAAGCAGAGAGCAAACCTCACTCCCTTTTAGAACTGAAGATTTTACCCAAACCCAATAGAGGCCATCCTTGTTTCAGCAAGCAAAATTGGCACCAGTGACTTGGTCATTAAGCAGAGCAATCACTAAATGAAAGGGTCCTGTGCCCACGATCCGAATGTAAGGACCCACCCCACTTTGCATCTTAAGAAGACAGAACTCTTGGAATATTTCTTCCAACAGGGATCCTTTATTAAGAGAAAATGGTTGCAGGCGTTCTAGACAGGACTTGAGGTTCAAGCTCTCCCATTCGAGGTTTTAAGGGGTTCCCCAGTAGTCCCACCCAATCACCCCCCTCTTCCAGTGACAGTTTCAGGCATCACAATCCCACCCCTTTTTTCCTTTCTTCCGTCTGGATGGAGACTTCAGATAAACTACATGAAAGGTAAATAGCCTCCTTTGTTATGATAAGGCCTTTTGGTGCTAACCCCATTCAAACTCTTTGAAGTTGCAATACACACATTCAGTTCCTTAGAAGTATACTGAAGGAAGTGAGGGCCATAAAGCCCTTTTGTTCTCCCCCTTCTCTCCCTCTTATGGCAGAATCCAGAGAAGGCAGAATTGGGGTTTTCTATATTTGATAACCAAAGATGAAATATAATTGGATTCTGGCACCGACTTTCTTTTGCTTTAAAGAGCCATGAAGCTCTTCAAGACAAGGATGGCTCGCAAAGTGACTTTTTTCATGAGTAACGGTGAATGGTCATTGTCTGAAGCAATCACTAAATGAGGACTGTCTTTATTTAGCCCACAGATCTATCTTACAGCCATCAGATTACTCTACAGCAGGGGTCTTCAACCGTGGCCCTTTTAGGACTTGTGGACTTCAACTCCCAGAATTCCTCAGCCAGGCACATTTAAATTTACATTTTTATCATCACCCAGAAAGGAAAAACACAAGATAGTCAGGCACATAGGGATATCCTGAGGTAAATCAAACAGTATACAGAACACCCAGAGGAAAAAAGGCGGGAAAAAAGGGAAACGCCCCCTTCATACTCACAGCAACCAATCAGAGTGTAGATTGCCTCATGCATGAGTCAGCACTCTCTAATTCAGGGGTCTTCAAACTTGGCCCTTTTAGGACTTGTGGACTTCAACTCCCAGAATTCCTCAGCCAGCATGGGGGAACTATGGCCCCTTCATGACTTGCAGACTTCAACTCCCAGAATTCCTCAGCCAGTGTGCCTGGCTGAGGAATTCTGGGAGTTGAAGTCCACAAGTCATAAAAGGGCCACGTTTGAAGACCCCGGCTCTACAGATCCTCAATTGCCTCAGTTCTCCTTACCCGACTTATAGAAATGGAATCCGAAATTCTTCGCGTCCACACCCAAGGATACTGGCCCCATCGTGGCCACAGCTTGCTCCAGGGCTGCCTCATTCTGTGACTGAATCCGCACTAAGGACGTGCAGTTGCCCACCCGAGTTGTTGGGTTGTAGTGACATTCGAACTCGTCCTGCAGAGATGGGACAGGAAGACGCAGGGGAAGTTTAGCAGCCTTTTCTGAGACTGGCCCATAGAACATAGAATCAGGGTTGGAAGGGATGTTGGAGGTCATCTAGTCCAACCCCCTGCTCAGGCAGGAAACCCTATACCATTTCAGACAAATGGCTGTCCAATCTCTTCTTAAAAACTTCCAGTGTTGGAGCATTCACCGCTTCTGGAGGCAGGTTGTTCCACTGGTTAATTGTTCTAACTGTCCTTAGTTCTAGGTTGCTTCTTTCCTTGGTTAGTTTCCATCCATTGCTTCTCGTCCTGCCTTCAGGGGCTTTGGAGAATAGCTTGACTCCCTCTTCTTTGGGGCAGCCCCTGAGATATTGGAAGGCTGCTATCATGTCCCCCCTCGTCCTTCTCTTCATTAAACTAGACATCCCCAATTCCAGCAATTCCTTATATGTTTTAGCCTCCAGTCCCCTGATCCTCTTTGTTGCTCTTCTCTGCACTCTTTTTAGAGTCTCAACATCTTTCTTAAATTGTAGCAATCAAACTGAGACGCCAAATTAGCTCTCCATGTGTGATTTAGTGCACTGCACAGAATAAATAGCAATAGCACTTGGACGTATATCGCTTCACAGTGCTTTGACAGCCCTCTCTGAGCAATTTATAGTCAGCCTATCTGCCCACTGCTCCAACAATCTGGGTCCTCATTTTACTGACGTCGGAAGGACGGAAGGCTGAGTCAAGTTTGAGTCGGAGAGACTCGAATTGCCAAACTGCTGCCAGTTGAGACTCAGCAGAATTACCCTGAGATTTGCTACTTCGCGGGGGTGGGGGGACAAATTCAGCATTTGGCTACAGTAGATCCAGTTGCTGTTTTGGCTAAGAGTGGTGGTCCTCACTTTATGGAATAGCTTGATCCCTGAGATACGTAGGAAAGCCCGCATCCCTTGCCTGCAGGCTGGAAAATAGTCAAACCCATCTTCCATCGAACAGGGGTCCTCAACTCTGGCAACTTTAAGACTTGTGGACTTCAACTCCTAAGTCACTTTTTTCAGTGCTGTTGTAACTTTGAGGGGGTCACTAACTGAATCGATGTAAGTCGAGGAGCACCTGTAGAGTATGACCTTTTAAGTAACATACTGTTCATTGTGTAATCAACAAAATGGCCAGTAAATAGAAGAATAATAACTACAAACATAGTCTTGGGGGGGGGGTCCTTCATGCTCTCTGGATTGGTTCTTTTCTTGCAGACATTTCATGACCCAACTAGGTAACATCATCAGTGCTGGAAGGGGGTGGGCTTCTTCAGAATAGAGTAGAGTAGAGTAGAGTAGAGTAGAGTAGAGTAGAGTAGAGTAGAGTAGAGTAGAGTATCTCGTCCTGTAGAGATGGGACAGGAAGACGCAGGGGAAGTTTAGCAGCCTTTTCTGAGATTGGCCCATAGAACATAGAATCAGGTTTGGAAGGGACATTGGAGGTCATCTAGTCCAACCCCCTGCTCAGGCAGGAAACCCTATACCATTTCAAACAAATGGCTGTCCAGTCTCTTCTTGAAAACTTCCAGTGTTGGAGCATTCACTATTTCTGGAGGCAGGTTGTCCTCACTGTCAGGAAGTTTCTCCTTGGTTCTAGGTTGCTTCTCTCCTTGATTAGTTTCCATCTGTTGCTTCTTGTCCTGCCTTCAGGTGCTTTGGAGAATAGCTTGACTCACTCTTCTTTGGGGCAGCCCCTGAGATATTGGAAGGCTGCTCTCATGTCCCCCCTCGTCCTTTTCTCCATTAAGGAGGAGCTTAATGAAAAGAGCTTTGTTTCATTCTTTTCGTTTCTAGCACTGATGACGTTACCTAGTCGGGTCATGAGACGTCTGTAAGAAAAGGACACAGCTCAGAGGGCCCCGAGGACCCCACAGCTCCACTCTGAGCCACAAAGATTCTCTTCCGTCGGTCGATCACGCCTTGCCCATGTCCACCTCGTCTCCCTCTCTCACCTTCTCCGGGTAAGGATAATCCTGCTCCGAATTGATGCCTCGGTTGTCCCGAACGTACTCAAAGGCGTGGCTGACGTAGCCTCCATGACAGCCCTTGTTGCCCAGCTTCCAGGAGCAGTCCATGAGGTTCTGCTCGCTCAGGGGGACCAGCTTGCCGGTCTTCTTGAAGAGCAGACCCTCCAGAGCCCCCGTGGCACTGAAGGCCCAGCAGGAGCCACAGTGTCCCTGTGAAGAGTGGAAGAGGCTGGGAGGAGCTCTGCAGGGCCAGGAGGCCAAAGCTGGTGTCTAGGGTTCGGTATTTAATTGAGGAGGAGGAGAAGGTAGATGGAGACAGTGAAAGAAAGGAAGGACAACGAAGGGAAGGTAGAAGGAGAAGGTGAGAAGGAAGAGAAGGGGAAGGGAAAGAAGAAGGGGAAAGAGGGAGAGAGGGAGGAGAAATGGGAGAGGAGAAGCAATGGAGGAGGAGGAGGGGAAGGGGAAGGAGAAGGGGAAGAGGAGTATAGAGGGAGGAGAAATGGGAGAGGAGAAGAAATGGAGGAGGAGGAGGAGAAGGAGAAGGAGAAGGAAGAGAAGGGGAAGGGAAAGGAGAAGGGGAAGGAGAAGTAGAGAGGGAGGAGAAATGAGAGAGGAGAAGAAATGGAGAAGGAGGAGGAGGAGAGAAGGAGAAAAGGATGGGGAGGGAATAGGAAGGGGAAGGGGAAGAGGAGTAGAGAGGGAGGAGGAGGAGAAATGGGAGAGGAGAAGAAATGGAGAAGAAGGTGAAGGAGAAGGAGGGGAAGGGCAAGGAGGAGAAGGAAGAGAAGAGAAGGAGAGGATGGGGAGGGGAGGGAATAGGAAGGGGAAGGAGAAGGGGGTAGAGAGGGAGGAGAAATGGGAGAGGAGAAGAAATGGAACACTGCTATCATGTCCCCCCTCGTCCTTCTCTTCATTAAACTAGACATACCCAATTCCAGCAACCGTTCCTTATATGTTTTAGCCTCCAGTCCCTAATCATCTTTGTTGCTCTACTCTGCACTCTTTCTAGAGTATCAATATCTTTTTTACATCGTGGTGACCAAAACTGGATGCAATATTCCAAGTGTGGCCTTACCAAGGCCTTGTAAAGGGATATTAACACTTCACGTGATCTTGATTCTATCCCTCTGTTAATGCAGCCTAGCACTGTGTTGGCTTTTTTGGCAACTGCAGCTCACGGCTGGCTCCTATTTAAGTGATTGTCCTCTAGGACTCCGAGATCCCTCTCACAGTTGCTACTATTGAGCAAGGTACCCCCTATACTATACCTGCACATTTGGTTTTTCTTGCCTAAATGTAGAACCTGACTTTTTTCACCACTGAATTTCATTTTGTTAGTTAGTGCCCAGTGTTCAAGTCTGTCCAGATCCTCCTATATCCTAAGCCTGTCTTCTGGAGTGTTGGCTATTCCTGCCAGCTTGATGTTGTCTGCAAATTTGATGAGTTCCCCATCACTTGGGGAACTCATCACTTGGTCAAAGAATGCCATAAGATTTGTCTGGCATGATCTATTTTTGAAGAAAGAAAAAGGAAGATGAAGATGAAGAGAAGAGGGAGGAGATGAGGAGGAGGAGAGGGCAGAGAAGGATCGGAGAGAGAAGAAAGAGAAGGGGGATGAGGAGGAGGAGATGGAAAAAGAAGGAAGAAAGAAGAGGAAGAAGAAAAAGATTGGTCTGGAGAACAAAGCTGGCTGTCATGGTCCCCTATCATTGCAGAAGGAGGAGGAGGAGGAGGAGGAGGAGGAGGAGGAGATTTTTCCCGTAAACGTGGAAAAAAAGAAAAATTCTAGCTTGATTACAAAAATCCCCAGAACTCACCTGATTTTTTATAGGAGTGACGAAGCCCTTCGTACGCCAGTCCACCTGCTTGGGTATCTCCTTCGTGGCTGATTCTTGGAAGTAAGTGGCACCTTCTTCATGCTCTTTGGTTTGATCGGGCTGGAAACGATTCAACATCTGGTTAAACTCCTCATCTGTCTGGGGAAGAAATCAGGAATTTTGTCTCCCGCTGGTGACTTAATTTTTCAGCAAGACAGCAGACCAAGTCGTGGGAGAAACCGAGGTAGAGAAGGTGAAAGAGGAAGATGGATGTGCTTCTAAGGTAGTCATCAAAGGGAAGCCAAACTGTAACTCTCTAGGCTACAGCACCGTTTCTTAACCTTGGTAACTTTAAAGTATGTGGACTTCAGCTACCAGAATTCCCCAGGCAGTATCTGTGGACTTCAACTCCCAGAATCCCCCAGGCAGCATCTGTGGACTTCAACTCCCAGAATCCCTCAATCAATATCTGTGGACTTCTGCCTGATCTTCTTCTCCGTTGGCCCTCAGAGATGGCTCGGACAGCTGAGGGAGCCGCCGCTCCTCATCAGCTGAGCAGAGCCTCCTCGACAGAAGTCGCATCCTCCAGGGCGACTTTGGACCGGCATAAGGATCTGCCAGCAGAGGGAAAGCTAGCCGACGAGGAGAGAAGTCTCCCCGTACGACTAGAGACGCCGCATATGTGGGCTTCAGCTACCAGAATTCCCCAGGCAATGTCTGTGGACTTCAACTCCCAGAATCCCTCAATCAATATCTCTGGACTTCAACTCCCAGAATTCCCCAATCAATATTTATGGATTTCAACTCCCAGAATCCCCTAGTCAGCATCTCTGGACTTCAACTCCCAGAATTCCCCAGCCAGCATCTCTGGACTTCAGCTCCCGGAATTCCACAGCCACTATGGACTCAGCCGGTGCGCACCACTTCGGCAGAACCTGTAGTTAATTGTTTGTTGCCCAGGCCTAGAACGAACTTCCGAAAGCGGCATCCACACAGAGAACCGATTGTTCACCTATGTTAATCCCACCACTGGTCGTAAATCAAGGACTGATACCTTTAATTTGGCCCTCCAATGAAAAGAGAGGACGTGTTAGCGAAGGCGGAAGTCAAGAAGAGATGGCAGAGGATGAGATTTGTTAGATAGAAAGATCAACACAACGAATGTGAATTTGGGCAAACTCCAGGGGACGGTGGAGGGCAGAGGGAGCTGGCGTGCTGTGGTCACAACGATTAGACACAACTTAGCAACTGCACAACAACAACAACCCATCCAGAGTTTACCAGATCACCCAAGTGGTTCATGGCCACTTGGAAGCTGTGTTTGCCCTGAGCGGCTTCCAAATTGTGTTGTTCAATTCTCCACAGGTTCCTCTCCCAAATCGTCCGACGGAAAGATTCTTCCTCCTGTAACGACACAAAGGGCCTGTCACAAACTGAGACACAAACGCTCCCCCCCACAACCCATCTCACCCCAAGGGAACCCCCCCCAAACTTAAATAACATTTTAATTTAAGGCCAGTGACAAGGAGACACCATGATCCATTAGCCAGTGTTTCTCAACCTTGACAATTTTAAGGCACGTGGACTTCAACTCCCAGAATTCCACAGCCAGCAATGCTGGCTGTGGAATTCTGGGAGTTGAAGTCCACGTGCCTTAAAATTGTCAAGGTTGAGAAACACTGAAGCCTGATCCAAGAAGCAACAGTAGATAGATTTCAGTACAGGTCAATTTACGACCATAGTGGAGCGCCAAATTTTTGTTGCCAGCGAGACAGTTGTGAAGGCAGTTTTGCCCCATTTTACAGCCTTTCTTGCCACAGTTGTTAAGTGAATCACTGCAGTTGTTAAGTTAGGACCAAGGTTGTGAAGGGATTCCGGCTTCCCCCACTGACTTTGCTTGTCAGAAGGTCGCAAAAGGGGATCGCAGGACCCCAGGACGCTGCGACCGTCATAAATATGAGTCAGTTGTCAAGCGTCTGAATTTTGCTGCAATGGTCATAAGTGTGAAAGTTGAAGTCCACCCATCTTAAAGCATGCTGAATGGAGAATTCTGGGAGTTGAAGTCCACCCATCTTAAAGCATGCTAGATGGGGAATTCTGGGAGTTGAAGTCCACCCATCTTAAAGCATGCTGGCTAGGGGATTCTGGGAGTCGAAGTCCACCCATTTTAAAGCATGCTGGCTGGAGGATTCTGGGAGGTGAAGTCCACCCATCTTAAAGCATGCTAGATGGGGAATTCTGGGAGTTGAAGTCCACCCATCTTAAAGCATGCTGGCTAGGGGCTCCTGGGAGTCGAAGTCCACCCATTTTAAAGCATGCTGGCTGGAGGATTCTGGGAGGTGAAGTCCACCCATCTTAAAGCATGCTGAATGGGGAATTCTGGGAGTTGAAGTCCACCCATCTTAAAGCATGTTGGATGGCAAATTCTGGGAGATTAAATACACCCATCTTAAAGCATGCTGGTTGGGGAATTCTGGGAGTTGAAGTCCACCCGTCTTAAAGCATGCTGAATGGGGAATTCTGGGAGTTGAAGTCCACCCATCTTAAAGGATGCTGGCTGGGGAATTCTGGGAGTGGAAGTCCACCCATCATAAAGCATGCTACATGGGGAATTCTGGGAGTCGAAGCCCACTCATCGTAAAGCATGCTGGCTGGGGGATTCTGGAAGTCCACCCATCTTAAAGCTGCCAAAGTTGAGATCCATTTATGTCCCCTTCCAATACAGTAGAATTAGGTCTGCTGGACACACTTCCCAACTGGACTACCTCACAAGGCTGACACAAACTCACCTCCAAGTAGCTCTTGGCGTGTGTTTCCTTCCATCCCTTCCATGCCCCTTCCAAGGCCAGATCCACGGGGTTGCAGGACACTTTCAGAAAGACCAGAGTTGTCACGGTGAGCCGAACAAATGACCACATGTCTCTGTCTTGGTGGAAATGAAGATATCCTGGGGATTAAGGATGCTTAAAGCTGGGGTCCCTGTGCTCCCACTGATTTTATTCACCCCAACTGCTGCATGATCAATTTCTCGCCTAAATAAAAAACCTTGGCATTTGCACTAGTTAAATTTCATTCTGTTATTTTGAACGCATGTCTCTAACTTACCCCGTGCACCTTCAAGCGTGTTTCTGTCTCCTGGAATAAGTAATTCCACCCAGTTTTGTAAATTTAATAAGCGCTCTCTCTCTCTCTCTCTCTCTCTCTCTCTCTCTCTCTCTTTCCCTCTCTCTCTCTCACACCCTCCCTCCCTCCCTCTTTCTCCTTAAGTCAGTGGTTCTCAACCTTTTTAATGCCGCGACCCCCCAACCGGTCATAAGTCAAGGACTACTCAACCGGTCGTAAGTCGAGGACTACTCAACTGGTGCAGCACCGTTTGCAGAATGGGACTTTTGGCGGGCTCAGCAGGGCAGAGACAGCCTGGACAATTCCTATTGGCTTTTGAAAGCCAATAGAATTAGACTCTATTCAAGAGAGTCTATTCTATTGGCTTTCAAAAGCCAATAGAATAAAAGGGATTAGCACAGCTAAGGAAAAGGGGGGAAAAATGGCGGACTGCGTTGTTTGGCGACCCCCGTGAAATGGTCGTTCGACCCCAAATGGGGTCCCGACCCACAGGTTGAGAACCACTGCCCTAAGTCGTTAATAGAAAAAACCATCTTGCTTGGATATTTTGAAGTTTTCAAAATGTCAATTCAAATTCAATATAGAGAAAGCTAAGACAAGAAAAAACAACTGCACTAGTATAATATAGGTGGTCCCTGGCTCAATAGTAGTAACTGTGAGAGGGATCTCGGAGTCCTAGTGGACAATTACTTAAATAGGAGCCAGCCGTGTGCTGCAGCTGCCCAAAAAGCCAACACAGTGCTAGGCTGCATGAACAGAAGGATAGGATCAACATCAGGTGAAGTGTTAATACCACTTACAATGCCTTGGTAAGGCCACACTTGGAATACTGCATTCAGGTTTGGTCACCACGATGTAAAAAAGAGGTTGAGACTCTAGAAAGAGTGCAGAGAAGAGCAACAAAGATGATTAGGAGACTGGAGGCTAAATCATATGAGGAACGGTTGCTGGAATTGGGTATGTCCAGTTTAATGAAGAGAAGGATCAGGGGGGACATGATAGCAGTCTTCCAATATCTTAGGGGCTGCCCCAAAGAAGAGGGAGTCAAGCTATTCTCCAAAGCACCAAAGGGAAGGATAAGAAGCAACGGATGGAAACTAACCAAGGAGAGAAGCAACCTAGAACTAAGGAGAAACTTCCTGACACTGAGAACAATTAACCAGTGGAACAACCTGCCTCCAGAAGTGGTGAATGCTACAACACTGAAAGTTTCTAAGAAGATACTGGACAGCCATTTGTCCGAAATGGTATACGGTTTCTTGCCTGAGCAGGGGATTGGATTAGTGGATCTCCATGCCCCCTTCCACCCTATTATTCTATCTTCTATGTTTAGCAGGTGGACATCTGGTGTGCGCCAGGCTGGGGAAGTTCTCCGTAAATCATAGCCATGATCCTAGCAGGTATGCCCAGTACTGCACATTGAGGCCTGCCAACTTAACAGAGGTTCATGAAGCCTTAGATAAAGCAAAGTATTAAAGGCAGATTATTTTTTTTTCTTTCGTTAGATTTCTCATCCAATATGATTGTACAATTTGAAACTGGGTGGGATATTAAGTGGATCGCTGCAATTGTTCAGCTAGTAACAGGGTTATGAAATCGGCCTGGCTTCCCCATTGATTTTGTCAGAAGGTCACAAAAGGTGAAGCCTTCCCCCCCCCCCTTTTTACGAGTCTGTAATCCCTTGGTTCAGGGTGGAATTGAAGCGACCTGAGCTGAGCGTTTGCTGGCCTTCCTGATGCCTATGCAGTGTTTGCAGGAGATTATTTTCTCTTTGCGCCCTGAAAGAGAAAATTCTGTTGCTGCCTAGGATTGACGTGTCAACATCCAGCTGAAGAATCCAAATAAAACTCCAGGTTCATTCCATTTCTGAAAATCTTACCGTTTATTGAATACACTGCTTGGCTTTGTTGAAACAAAACAAAGTTCCAACACCAGTTCATAGACTTATAATTTTCCCAGCAAAACCCCCAACATCTTCCATAATTCATAGCCACAAGTTCAAGTTTGTTATCGGAACCGTCTGCTTCAAATCCACACCTGTTCTGGTGTCCTTGAAAAGGCTTCAGGCTCTCACGGACTGGGTATGCAGCTAACGAGTAGGCTGGCTGGGTCGCTCAATAGTCAGAAACTGGTGAAGTGGTCACAGCAACGCCTGCATTTTCTGCGTCGCATTAAGAAAAGCACATCCTCCTTCCCCTGTCCTGACCACTTTCTACAGGGGGACGATCGAGAGCATCCTGTCATACGGCATCACAGTCTGGTTTGAAAGCATCCCTGCTTCAGACAGGAAGGCGGTGCAGAGAGTGGTGAGGACAGCCGAAAAGATCATGGGCAGTTCCCTCCCTCCCATCCAGGACAAAGTACAGAAGCGATGCTTGAACAGGGTCCGTAAGATCATCTGGGACACCACACATCCTCTTCACGCCCTGTTTTCCTTGTTACCTTCTGGGAGGAGGGGCTCCGTGGTATCCGAAGCAGAACATCCAGATTCAGGCAGAGTTTCCTTCCATACAGCATTAACCTTGTGAACTCTCAAGCTTCCATTATATATTCAAGATGGACAGTATTTAATATTTATTTGCTACGTACAGTATATGTAGGGATGTAGGTCTATACACATGTTGTATATAGTATGTTTAGGTGTGTGTCATGTCTGTGTTTCACTTTGAGAGCAGGCAACTAAATTTCATTTTTGATGTGTGCCGTTGAAGTGCTTCATTAGTTGGAACCTCTGACAAAAGGTTTATCTTATCTTGTCTTGTCTTCTTGCCTTGCCTTGCCTTATCTTATTTTATCTCTCCCCCTCCCTTAATCTAAAGCAGTGGTTCTCAACCTTTTTAATGCCGCGACCCCCAACCGGTTGTAAGTCGAGGACTACCCAACCAGTGGTAAGTTGAGGACTACCCAACTGGTCGTAAGTCGAGGACTTTCCCTGCCCGGGAGCACCGCTCATGTGTGGTGCCGCCCCCTGTGCCGGCTGAGGCATAGCTGGCAAGGGGCAGCGACGGCGCAGGGCGACCACCGGCTGGGCCACCAGCTGGCCCAGCCCAAGGGAGGTAAGGCACCCGCCGGGCCCCACACGTGCCAGCAACCCTCCCTGCGCCCGCCGGCCTCCCACCTCCCACCCCTGGCCCTCTTTTACTTCCATTTTTAATAGTTGCTCAGCAGGGAGGGGTGGAAACTTCCAGACAGCTCACCTTCGCTGCAGACAACTTGCAGCACCGTTTGCAGAATGGGACTTTTGGTGGGCTCAGCAGGGCAGAGACAGCCTGGACAATTCCTATTGGCTCTTGAAAGCCAATAGAATTAGACTCTATTCAAGAGAGTCTATTCTATTGGCTTTCAAAAGCCAATAGAATAAAAGGGAGTTGCACAGCTAAGGAAAAGGGGGGGGGGAAATGGCGGACTGCATTGTTTGGCGACCCCCGTGAAATGGTCGTTCAACCCCAAATGGGGTCCCGACCCACAGGATGAGAACCGCTGATCTAAAGGCACGTAGCTGTCAAAGTTTCATCCTTGGTCTAAAGTCTCAACTTTCCCAGTGGGAAGCAAGAGTCTTCACCTTAAGGCCCCCATGCTACTCTAATGTCACCTTACAATAAAGTAGAATTAATTCATCGGTCTGGGTTTTGCATCTGGGCCATTGCAAGGCTAACAAGCCCAATCTGGCCCTCTTCCCATTGCAGTCTGTTTCTGTGGTTCTGCTCCCCTAGACACACACACACACACACACACACACACACACACACGTGAGTGCACATAATATGCACACAGGAAACAGACCTTGCCTCATCGCGATTGCGGCATTTTTAGGGGAAAGACGAGAAGAAAACCTTTTTTTTTTTAGCAAAACATTCAGTTTCCAAATGTTTTGCTGTTAAACAGTGCAGGGTGGGAGAATTAGGATTAAATTGCAGGAATATTTTTCCCAATCCTTTCCCCCCCCTCCCTTCCCAAGGGGTCTTTATGTTTTGTCTACCGCTACCCCTTCAGTATTTTGGATCATTATGACTCCTGATGTTGCAGCTAAGATTAGAATGAGGAACCGCATTAAATGCAATTAATTCCGGGCCTCGCCCTTTATGAGTCTTTCTTCCTACCTACATCAACAGCTCCTGCTTCTCTCAAGTTAGGTGTTCCTTCTTCATTCACAGGATTCTATCTGTGGAAAAGCCCCATCTACTTTTGTAGGGAAATGCTAGGACACAAACACCCCCCCCCCAAATTCTGGCATGATCTTTACATTAATTTATAATAGAATAACAAGGTTGGAAGGGACTTTGAAGGTCTTCTAGTCCAACCCCCTGCTCAGGTAGGAGACCCTATATCAGGGGTAGGCAACCTTGGCTCTTTTATGACTCGTGGACTTCAACTCCCAGAATTCCTGAGCCAGCCATGCTGAGGGGACAGGGAGACGTTTCCAAGCTGACCCATGCTGGCTCAGGAATTCTGGGAGTTGAAGTCCACGAGTCATAAAAGAGCCAAGGTTGCCTACCCTTGCCCTATACCATTTCAGACAAATGGCTGTCCAGTCTCTTCTTTAAAACTTCCAGTGTTGGAGCATTCACTGCTTCTGGAGGCAAGTAGTTCCACTGGTTAATTGTTCTCACTGTCAGGAAGTTTCTCTTTAGTTCTCTCTTTGGTGAGTTTCCATCCGTTGCTTCTTGTCCTGCCTTCAGGTGCTTTGGAGAATAGCTGGACTCCCTCTTCTTTGGATCAGCCCCTGAGATACTGGAACACTGCTATCCTGTCCCCCCTCGTCCTTCTCTTTATTAAACTAGACATACCCAATTGCAGATACCGTCGCTTATATCTTTTAACCTCCAGTCCCCTGATGATCTTTGTTGGTCTTCTCTGCACTCTTTCTAGAGTCTCAACATCTTTTTTACATCGTGGTGACCAAAACTGGATGCAGGATTCCAAGTGTGGCCTTACCAAGGCGTTATAAAATGGTATTAACACTTTGTGTCATCTTGATTCTATCCCTCTGTCAATGCAGCCTAGGACTGTGTTGGCTTTTTTGGCATTTGCAGCTGCCAAAAAACTGATAATTAAGTTATATTTCTTAACACCTCTATCGTCCCCACCAACAACAATGTACTCAGCAGCCTCTCCTCATGTGTATACTGGACCACACAAAGAGTGTGTTTGCCTGTGATCAAATGAGATGGCTTGAAAGGGACGTGAGCATCTTAGGAACATGATAAGTATATCTCTGGCTGCAGGATGGTCAAGCGGAGCTTCCAGAGGCTGGGGCAGTCTACCTAAAAAAACTAAGCATTTCCTAGAGTCTTTGAGCGCAGCTCCCTGTTTTAATGGAAGATGACAGATGTCCCCTTGTTCAACAGCAGCTCCGTCCCCCGATTTATGACCTGTTCCCCCCAACTGCGCTTACCTCTTTCCCAGAAGAAAAGGCTAGGAAAAGAGATTTTTTCTGCTTGCCCGTCTCCCTCCAACAGCAAAAGTCACCGGATCTCATGAACTTTTTCTCCCCCCACCCTCCTGCCCAGTTTCCTTTCATTTGCCCTGCCTCCCACCTTGTGGGTTTTGCAAAGCTAAAAGCCACAAGTTTGTGACGTGAGCCCAACTTCCACGGAACCTCCACCGGTAGCTCTCCAGCACAACAGAGGATGTGGTTTTCTTGCGGTGATCCGGAACTCAGGGCTTGTGCTTGCTCAAAGAAGAGAACATGAAAAAGAGGGCATGAAAAATAAATGCACGGGACTTCCTAGGTGTGCAGGGGGTAAGAATGAGGAGGGTCCAATGAAGGGTCTGTGGCGAAAAAGGTCCAAGGTAATTTTTGGGCTGCATCCAACGCAGGACAGGGGAACAGTCACTGAGCTTTATGTCATTC